AACATGAAGAGGGCCTGGACATTGGAATTATCTGACAAGTACTTTAAAGCAGCTATCAAGAAAATGCTTTATGAGTTTTGAAACAAATGAAAAAACGGAAGAAAGAAATAGAAGAAAGAACCAAAGGGAAATTATAGAACTGAAAAATCCCATGATTGAACTAAAGAACTCAGTAGAAGGGCTCCCTGGTGGACCAGAGAGGACAGAAGAGAATCAGAGGAGAACCTGAAGATAGAGCAGCAGGAATGACCTCGGCTGAGCAACAGAGAAGAACTAGAAAAATTAATAGGGCCTCAGGGAACTTGGGGACAATAACAGAAAATTCTACATTTGCATCATGGTCATCACAGAAGGATAGGAGAAGGAGTGTGGGGCTGGAAATGTATTAGAAGAAATAATGGCTGAAAATGACCTAGACTTGGTAAAAGTCATAACTCACAGATTTAAGAATTCAAAACAGGATAAACCCAAAGAAATACACACCAAGACATATCATAATCAAACATTTGAAAACTAAACCTCAGAAAAAAATCTTGTGAGAGACTAGAGAGAAATGATCTTTTGTTTACAGAAGGACACCAATTCAGGTGACAGCGAATTTCTCATCTGCCTCCATGGAAGCTAAAAGAAAAAGCACAAAATTTTTCAATTGCTGAAAGAAAATAATTGTCAATTACAAAATCTTTTTTTTTTTTTAAATTAGAGATGGAGTCTTGCTGTGTTGCCCAGGCTGGTCTCAAACTCATGGGCTCAAGCAATCCTCCCACCTCTGCCTCCAAAGTCCTGGGATTACACGTGTGAGCCACCATGCCTGGCTACAAATTCTATATGTGGTAAAATGTCCTTCAGGAACGAAGGTGAAATAAAGACTTTCTTAGATGAAGGAAAACAAACTTGCTAGCAGACTTACCCTTAAAGAATCATTAAAAGAAGTTCTCCAAACAGAAAGGAAATGACACCAGAAGGAGGCTTGGAACTTCAGAAAAAAAAGAAGAATGGTGTGGTGGTTAATTTTATGTGTGAATGTGGAGAGTGTTTTTGGATGAGATTAACATTTAAACCATTGAGTAAGCAGATTGCCCTCCATGATGTGGGTGAGCCTCCTTCAGTCAGACCTGAATAGAATGAAAGACTGACTTCCCCAAGTGAGGGAGATTCTCCCGCAGGTGGCCTTTGGATGTCACTTACATTATCAGCTCTCCTAGGTCTCCATCTGCCATCCCACACTGCAGATTTGGGGCTTGTCAGCCTCCATAATCATGAGAGCCAATTTCTTACAACAAATACGTTTTTTGTTTGTTTGTTTGTTTTTTGAGACAGTGTCTCACTCTGTTGCGGAGGCTGGAGTGCAGTGGCATTGTGTCGGCTCACTGCAGCCTCCGTCTCCTGGATTCAAGCAATTCTCCTGCCTCAACCTCCTGAGTAGCTGGGATTACAGGTGTCCACCACCGCACCCAGCTAGTTTTTATATTTTTAGTAGAGATGGGGTTTCACCATGTTGGCCAGGCTGGTCTTGAACTCCTGACCTCAGGTGATCCGCCTGCCTTGGCCTCCCAATGTGCTGGGATTACAGGCGTGAGCCACCGTGCGTGGCCAACAAATATGTACAAACACAAACATGCACCTGCGTTCTCTTTGTTCTGTTTCTCTGGAAAACCCTAATACAAAAAGAATGAGTAAGAATACAAAATTGGGGTGAGTATAATACAATGTTCTTCTCCTTATGAATTCTTAAATCATAGTTAATGGTCAAAGCAGAAATTATCATCTGGTGTGCTCAGTGTACATGGAGGAAATAGGACAGTGATATTTAAAGAGGGGAAAGGGTGCAAGACTTTGAATGGAAATAAGGTTTTCTGTACTTCTCTCAAGGTGGTAAAATGTCGATGCCAGTAGATTGTGATAAGTTCCGTATGTATAATCCTACCTAGAACAATCTCCAAGAATGCTGTACGAAGCAATGTACTAAAAAATACTACTAATAAATCAAAATGAATTCTAAGAAATTCCAAAAAGTAATTCAGGAAGGGACGAAGAGAAGCAGAGGAAAAGAAACATGAATGAACAACAAATAATGACAGACTTCAGATACCAATAATTATTTTAAATGTAAGTACGTGAATTAAAAGACCTTGCTGGCCAGGCAAGGTGGCTCATACCTGTAATCCCAGCACTTTGGGAGGCCGAGGTGGGTGGGTCACCTGAGGTCAGGAGTTCGAGACCAGCCTGGCCAACATGGTGAAACCCCATCTCTACTAAAAATACAAAAATCAGCTGGGCGTTGTGGCGGATGCCTGTAATCCCAGTTACTCGGGAGGATGAGGCAGGAGAATTGCTTGAACCCGGGAGGTGGAGGTTGCAGTGAGCTGAGATCATGCCATTGCACTCCAGCCTGGGCAATGAAGTGAAACTCCATGAAACAAAACAAAACAAAACAAAAAAAACCTCTCATATGATCTAACAATACATTGTCTCCAAGAAACTTACTCCGAACATAAAATGGCCCAGCACAGTTCCTGGCAGGTAGAGAATTCAACTAGTGACAGCTGTTGGAATTATTGCTTTTTAAACTATTCACCACTTAGGACAGTCAGAGAGCCTTCTGAAGAAAGCTGCTCCGTTTGGTAGAAAGTGCAGGTGCATTGAGGTCTGGGGGAGCGACTGTTGCTCCTTCAGTGAGATTGAAGATGAGGTGAAATGAAAGTCGGCGAAGCACCCAGCAGTTTTTTGGGTGCAGACAGTATTGGGGGTACCAGTGCAGGGTCCCCTGAAAACTTGGAAATAGGACTAAAATTGCTTTCTAAGGGTTAAACTCTGAAATGATCAACATTGGATTGTAGTAGTAAAAAGTTAGAGTTAAAATGGGTGCATTTGTTATATGTAAAGTATGCCTCATTAAAATTGGTTTAAAAAATAACCTGTAAACATGTCTTCTTATATGTACTTAGGAACTATAATTGACTTTTTAGTTTAAGGTGTTCCATTTTTAAGTTTTTACTTTCAGAACACCGAAATCTAATTTTTAGTTACTGCCCTATTGAGATTTATAGTCTAAAATTCATAGTGGTCACTCCTCTGTCCAAATAAATCTCAAACCCGGAAGAGTAAACCAGAAAAATTACTGTAGTTTTTAAATCACTTAGGAATTTTTCTTAAAGTCACATAATTATTGAAGGTCACATTATTTTTTGAGTAAATCACTTCCTTTAAGGGGTGTTATAGAATGTTTGGAGAAACAACGCGTGCATGCCCACACACACTCACACAAAACAGCTTTCTCACGGAAGACATTGTTCACATTTATTGATCATCTCAGTAGCACGTAGAAATGAATAGTGATGGATCAGGTTCTATAAGTGTTGAGAGAAGAGCAGCGTTTTGTGGGGTGGGTTTTGGGTTTATTTTGTGTGTTGAGCAGTACCTGAGGTCAGCAGAGGCACACTGCACTAGGAAAAGAAGCATGGCTTCTGAGAAGGCCAGGACGGGACAGGATGACGATGTGGTGGGATCTGAGAAAGGGGAAATCCCACGCACGCAGAGTCTGGTGAACACATGCTGCCATCCTAGGGCTGGGGGTGGACAGGAAAGCAGCCTTGAGGCAGTCAGTACCTAGCATTGCACACTCTGGTCTTTTAGAGATGATCATATCTTCAGCAAGGTGGAGACAGATTAAAATGCCATGCATTTCTCTTGATGATTTCCTGTGGCCACTTAGCATCATGAGAATTACCCCAGGACAGCCTCTGCTTCTAGGTGAGAGACGTGATGTTAACTCTGTATGGAGAATACAGTGAGCGGAAGGCCTGTTGTCCTAGTGGCCTGTGACTATACATGGGGTGTTGTTCTCCTTGTGGAAGACTTCCTTAAGTGTTGCCAGGGCGGGCAGGGGGAAGGAGGAGCATCCTGGCTCTTTTTGGCTTGCAGGAGGGAAAGCAGAAAGACGGTGATGTAGCCGTCTGTAAGCTGTCAGGTCTTGGCTTTGGCCTGGGAGGTGCTGGATCCTGCTTACACCATCTGAGTACGTTGTGCATAAACTGGGGTTGTAACTCAGACAGATCCAACAAATGCCTGAGTAATATCCGTGTAGATATCCCTGAAACACATGAATCAGATCATCTGGTAAAAGAGTAAGTGAAAAGAGGGTGGATGTGAACCAGGGCAGTAACAGTACAGAGAGGAGCGGGCTGCAGGGGGTTTTGCGATGTGATTTTGAGACAGGAGGCGCGGTGGAGAATCATTGGCAATGAAAGCCGTGCATTTTCTTTTGCCATATGCATTCGGGACTGCAGACTTTTTTATTTTTTTAAAGAGCTGTGTCAAATTATGATAGTTTCTTTTGTGGGGAGTTTCCTAGAACAAATTTTCTTTTATCAACAAGTCACTAAAAATCTAGTAGTTTATTATTTCCTTAAATTATTATACAATAATACTACTTTAAAGTTATTTACATGATTTTTGGATTTCTCAAAATATTTCACTTTTCTTTGTCTTTTTCTGCAGTATAACTAGAGGTAGTATCAATTAACAGCCTCAGTGAGACAATGATGCGATCTATCTATTAAAAACTTGAAAGCTGTCATTTTGTTTCAAGGTCATCTCTTAAACCATAATCTTAGTTTGAATTCTTTCCTGACCCCGTGTAGTGCTGAGGTCATCCTGCTTCTCTAAAGTGCTCACGGAATAGGCGGACCCAGTGCCATTGCCCAATACCAGTTCAAAACAGAACTCATTTTGCTCAAAAATTGTGTTGCTCTCTCACCCTTTTCCCAGTGTTTCCATCTTTTTCTTCCAATAAAGAAATGATTTTTGTATATTCAAATACATTTTTGAGAGATGAAAGTGATGCTTGTTCCAGAGGAAAGTATTAGATCAAAACCAAGATTAGAGGGACCAAGTAGTTTTCATTTAATTTGTGTGTTTACTGTTGATCATACCAGTTCTTTGAAGAAGGAGTGGTTTTGAAAGGTTTGCTCTGCTCACCGATGGGTTTTCTGTTCCAGAATCTCATCTGTTCTGAGTGTGGGGATGAGTTTACTCTGCAGAGTCAGCTGGCCGTGCACATGGAGGAGCACCGCCAGGAGCTGGCTGGAACCCGGCAGCATGCCTGCAAGGCCTGCAAGAAAGAGTTCGAGACCTCCTCAGAGCTGAAGGAACACATGAAGACTCATTACAAAATTAGGTAATATGAGTCATTACATGGGCTTGGTCAAAAATCCATCTAATATGTTAAAAGCTGGCGTACTTTGCTATGACCCAGTAGAAATACTTGCAGCAAGAACCCAGCAAAGTGGAACCCCACAGATAATTTGTTGTTAGAATGTCTTTTATAACATGCACGGTGCATCCTACACATTAATGAATAGCGTCAGGCTATGTGAGTAGAAGTGTTTACCTAGTATTATAATGTTGAAAGCTGTAGAACAGGGTACTGGCAATACATGTTTATGGGTAGGTAACAAAATATGTAAACTAGACTCACAAGGGTTTAATTAGTACTCCTTTTAATAAATTAGTTTGTAGTACCCAGCTGTTAAAACTCATATGTGCCTGACACCGTTCTTAGCGTGTATATAAACAGAACCTCATTTCATCATCACAACAACCCTGTTAGGCCACAGTACTGTTATGTTCCCATTTTGCAGATGAGAAAACCAAGATTAGAGGGACCAAGTAGTTTCATGAGATTTTGTGGCTTATAAGTCAGGAGTTTGAAATTTAAACCCTAATAGTCTGATTTTAGAGCTCATAATCTTAACAACTGACTATATTTGAATGCATTTATACATTTATTCTTATTCAAACTTAACGTTTTAAAAAAATTTGTATTTTACCTAATTCCTGATAATATATATTTTTACTGATATTTCGGTTTTTTTTTTTTTGAGACGGAGTCTGGCTCTGTTGCCCAGGCTGGAGTGCAGTGGCCAGATCTCAGCTCACTGCAAGCTCCACCTCCCGGGTTTACGCCATTCTCCTGCCTCAGCCTCCTGAGTAGCTGGGACTACAGGTGCCCGCCACCTCGCCCAGCTAGTTTTTTGTATTTTTTTTAGTAGAGACAGGGTTTCACCATGTTAGCCAGGATGGTCTCGATCTCCTGACCTCGTGATTCACCCTCTCGGCCTCCCAAAGTGCTGGGATTACAGGCTTGAGCCACCGCGCCCGGCCTATTTCTGTTTCTTAATAAAGTGAAATAAAATATTCTTCCTTGCCCTTTTGCTCAAGTTAGCTAATGGTGATAATCAGTTTTCACACAATTTAGCTTTCTCCAACAAACTCTAAAAGGCAGTATCAGGCCAGGCACAGTAGCTCACGCTTGTAATCCCAGCACTTTGGGAGGCCGGGGCAGGCAGATCACCTGAGGTCAGGAGTTTGAGACCAGCCTGGCCAACATGGTGAAACTCCGTACTTACTAAAAATACAAAAATTAGCCAGGTATGGTGGCACATGCCTGTAGTCCCAGCTACTCGGGAGGCTGAGGCAGGAGAATTGCTTGTACTGAGAAGGTGGAGGTTGCAGTGAGCCGAGATCGTGCCACTGCACTCCAGCCTGGGCAACAGAGTGAAACTCTGTCTCTAAAAATAAAATAAAATAAAGGCAGTATCGATTATCATTTTAACTACTATATTATCAATTTAGCTTGCCATCCTTCTAAGCCACAATGTTTAGGAAATATCTGTACTTTTTTTATTAAGAAGTCCCGTGGCAGTTGATTAACACAGTTTATAAAATGCCTGAAGACTCTGATGTTTATTTATCCTCTTAGACATTGTGTTTGAGAAATGTGGACTGGACGTCCACATGATCAGCTGTCTCCTGTCTTTCTTTTTCATTTTGCCTCTTGTTGACTAATGTGGTATGCACCTAATACTTTATGATTTCAGTGATTTTTTTTTTCTTTTTTCCCCAGCCAATTGGATGGTAATTTCAGTGATTTTTTAAATCCCCAAATATAATAATACATGGTCTCTATACATTCCAGATTTTTATTCTGATGAGGCTTTGACACAGGCATTTTTGATGTTTCCTTGGAGGTTTGAAAGATGATTGAAAATGTTTAGGTGCTTGTGGCACTTAGACAGTTCTGGCTTCTAGGTCTTTCCAGACTGAGGGGCAAACCAGACAGACGAAGCCTCGCCCTCACAGAACTGCCCTTTAGTTGGGAGATAGGCAGTGACCAAGTGAGTGGGTTAGCCAGTACCACAGTTTCAGATAGTGGTGCGTGTCAAGAAAGAAGGACAGTGGGATGGCTGTGTGCAGTGTGGCTGAGGGAGACTGGGAAGGCGGCTGTACTGCGTGGGCCTTTCTGAGTGGGGCTTTTGGAAGGAGACTGGGGTGAGGAGCAGGGAGCCCTGCAGCCTTAGGGGACGTGCCTTTCAGGCTGAGGGAGTGCGTTGGTGGAAGCAGAGCCTCCCTGGTGTGAGGAGCAGGAAGGTGGCTGGTATGGGAGGCAGGAAGGTGGCTGGTGTGAGGAGCAGGAAAGTGGCTGGTGTGAGGGGCAGGAAGGTGGCTGGTGTGAGGGGCAGGAAGGTGGCTGGTGTGAGGAGCAGGAAGGTGGCTGGTGCGAGGGGCAGGAAGGTGGCTGGTGCGAGGGGCAGGAAGGTGGCTGGTGCGAGGGGGGCAGGGAAGGTGGCTGGTGTGAGGGGCAGGAAGGTGGCTGGTGTGAGGGGCAGGAAGGTGGCTGGTGTGAGGGGCAGGAAGGTGGCTGGTGTGAGGAGAGCCTGCCTGGCGGGGGCAGGAAGGTGGCTGGTGTGAGGAGAGCCTGCCTGGCGGGGCTGGGGATGTGCATTTCCCATGAGTGGGACGGAAGCTCTTGGAGGGTTTTGCACAAAGGGAATGGCGTGACCAGACTTTTGGATGGCACTGGGCCTGGTGTGTGGGCAGGAGTCAAAAGCAGGGAGACCTTTTTGGAGGCTGTGGAAGCAGTGCACTGGAGAGCCGAACCCGTTCTGAGGCCGTGATGGTGGCTGGAGGGTGGAGAGTCGTGTCCACATTTGTGGGTGTTTCAGAGTAAGACTGGCAGCTTTTGGAGATGGACTAGAAAAATCCAGTGGGACTCTTGAGACTTAAACTTGAGCAAGAGGGAGCTTTCATGTCTTGACATGGAAAGGAGCAGGTTGGGAATCAATGAAGGGTTCTGTTTTGGACACCACCCATGAGGCAATGCCAAGCGAGAGTTGGCTGTCCAGGGCTGGAGCCAGAGGAGGAGGCAGAGTTGCTGGAGGCAGGAGTTTGGACGTCATTGGTGTGCAGATGGTAATGAGAGCAAGAGACTGGAGGAGATGGTGTGGGTCAGGTGTCAGTGTAGAAATTATACCCGTAGCATCTTTGTTTCTGATCATCACAGGTAAAGTTTTGTCTAGAAGAGACATTTTGCTCCCCCACCCCAATTTCAGTTTTTGACCAGAAAAAACACATTTTTTTCATCAAAAATAGAGAAAAATGAGTTTTATGATTTTTAAAACTAACGCATATACACACAGACACATACATATATGTGATTGATTTATTAAAACAGGTTCTGATGACTAGTTAGCCAAATTTTCTGGTAGGATTTTCATTTTGACTTTATGTTACAAGGTACAAGGGAGATGTCTTACCGTGTATTTTGCCCCCCTTTATTACACTAGGGTATCAAGTACAAGGTCTTATAACCGGAACATCGACAGAAGTGGATTCACGTATTCATGTCCGCACTGTGGAAAGACGTTTCAAAAGCCAAGCCAGTTAACGCGACACATTAGGATACACACAGGTATGAAAGCACGGGCTTCTGGGTGACTGACTGTGGCTTGAAGGGAAGAACAGGTGCCTTTGTGCTAGCTCGACTTGGAATCTGATCCCAGCTTTCCCATAGTTCGCTGGGTAATCTTGCTGAAATTAGTTACTCTTTGTGTTATTTTATTTCCTCACTTGAAAAATGTGGCTCTTTTATCTGTGTATAGTTGTCCTAAATTATAAATTAAAAAATGTGCGTAGTGCTCATTGAAAAGTGCTTGATACATGGTAGGCTGTTAATAATTTGGGGTTGATATTACTGTTATTATTATTGGTATGGTATTTATTTATTCCCTCATTTATTTTTACTGTATGTCAGATATTACACTGTGCTAATTAGAGCTAAATTAACAAAGAAAGACTGGATGTGGTGGCTCACATCCGTAATCCCAGCACTTTGGGAAGCTGAGGTGAGGGGATCTCTTCAGGCCAGGAGTTCAAGACTAGCACAGGCAACATAGTGAGATCCTATCTTTACAAAAAATAAAAAACTTAGCCAGGCGTGGTAGCACCCACCTGTAGCCGTGAGGTGGGAGGATTGCTTGAGCCTGAGAGTTTGAGGCTGCAGTGAGCTATGATTGTGCCATTGCACTCCAGCCTGGGTGACACAGCAAGAAGGCCCTGACTCTTAAAAATAATAAAATTAAAACCAAATAAAATAAAAAACAAGAAAGCAGTGGATTTTCATATTCTTTTGTAATTTTGCCTTCACTAAGCTGTGAAACATTGAATAATAAAACTTTCTTTCTCCATGCCTTATCTTGTTCATTAGTTTTGCTTGAATATTTGAAAGTGAGTACAGCATTCATAGCTGAATACTCTTTGCCATCTTGTAAAGAGCAGCCCGTTTATAATATTGTATTAGTAACACACATGATCTCCAGGGAAGGAAAAAGGAAAATTGTACAAATATTTTTAGTATTTGAGATTTGCAATTAAAATGATCCGTGCTTTGTCATTTTGTTTTCTTCTGTATTTCTTGATTTGGTTTTCTTTTATAGTGACAAAGTAAAAAATCTCACAGCTATTTTGCTTGGCTGCTATTGTTTGTCAATCAGTTCTAATTATGTTACATTGCTTTTTTTTTCCAGAGTTTTAGTGAATATTTCTGTGTAGAGTTTTGTAGAGTCATTCAGATGATTTCAGCGTTTGTTTATATGTCAGCATAAAGTTGATATTTTTAGAGCATCAGTTTTTATTTTCTAGAGTAAGAGAGAAAGAAAACAGTGCTTTTGTAAATGTGCTAATACATTTTGTCTGTAGAGTATTCAGCTTTAGTGTGTAGTCTTTGAAGTTTTAATCAATGAAAAAATAGTTTAAAAATGTTACAAACTTTACCCAAAGTAGAGAGAAAGTAAAAAGTAAAGCAAATCCTTCTCGTGTTCACTTCTCAGATGTCATTTACCTTTAACAGTTTGATATCTAACCCATTAGATATTTTCTACACATACATAAATATACATACATCATAAGCATACTTTCACTCCTAGAGAGACACATGCGTGGAGAATCACATACTTTGTGTCATTCTGGGATTCTGTGATGCATACTCTTCCTGCATTGAACTTGAAGCATATGTCACTGTTGCTCCAGTTGGCTTGTGAGCTGCCTGGAGAGAGCAGCAGGTCCCAGCCCCAGGAGTCACATAGGCCGGTGTGGTTTAAACAGGAGGCTGGCGGGCCCGGGTGGAGGTAGCAGGGAGTGCCCGCTTGCCGTTCAGGCAGTTCTGTGTTCTGGGCTTGGTCTTCCAATGGTTGTGCCTCGCAGTGTGTGTGATGATGTGAGCGGGGTGTGACCAGAATCCTACTGGACCATGCCTGGACTGTGTGTGACCCAGCAGAACTCCTGTCCAAAGGAGGCTGAGTACATTGCAGCATCATCATCTAGAACAGGAAGGGTGTCTCCTCACAGGCAGTGCTGTGACCGGACCACACTCTCGCTGTGCCTCCTGCCCACCTGCCCTCCTCTCCTGTCCCCATGTAGGCAGTGCCATGACCAGGGCACACTCTCACTGTGCCTCCTGCCTGCCTGTCCTCCTCTCCTGTCCCCATGCGGGCAGTGCTGTGACTGGGCCGCACTCTCACTGTGCCTCCTGCCTGCCTGTCCTCTTGTCCTGTCCCCATACGGGCAGTGCCGTGACCGGGCCACACTCTCACTGTGCCTCCTGACTGCCTGTCTTCCTCTTTCACACCCTTGCCCCTCAGAGTTAAAGCAGGGTTGTTTCCCATTTGTGTACTGTCCCCAAGCTTGTTATATCTCATTCATTTATTTAACCCTAAAGCTGTTCAGAGAAGCAGGGATCTGACGTTACTATGAACTCAGCTGCTTTCGGTTTCTTAGGGAGTGAAAATTTAGGAAGACTAGAAATTTAAGTAGCCTTGCAGTTAGGCTCTTACCTAACTCGATTTTGTCTTTTCGCTCATTCCTTCATTCATCAGATCTGTGCTGTGTGCTGGTGTGCACGAGGCCCTGTTCTAGGTGCTGAAGAGCTGCAGTGCACAAGCGCTTGCCTTCTTGGAGCCTGCATTCTAGGGAGGGGAGATGAACATTGAGTAAAATGTAAAAGGTCAAATGCTGAGAAGTCTGCAGAAGAATCAAGCAGAGAACGGGGCCAGGGGTTCCCAGGGAGGACAGGGGAGATTTTAATGTTAAATAGAATGGACTGGAAAGTGCTCAGTGCAAAGGGGAATTTGAGTAAAGGCCTGAAGAATCTGAGAGAGCAAGTCTTGGGGATACTTGGGGGAGAACCACCCAGGTGGTGGATTTCAGAGGCCCAGAAGTGGAAACCTGCCTGGTGTGTCTGAGGGCGGTGGCAGAAGTGGGTAGAGGGAGCGAGAGAGCAGGGGCAGGGGAGCTGACAACAGCTGGTCGGGGAACCACAGCACTGGCACCTCCTCTGCTGAGTATTTGAAGAACTTTGATTTTACTCTGGGGGGGATTTGGAAGCCTTTGAGGATTTTCAGCAGACAAGTGACTTGCTCGGACTTAAAGAGGGTCATTGTGTCTGTTGTTTTGAGAGCAGCCTAGGAAGGGGCCAGGGTGGAAGCAGTGAGTCAAGTTGGAGGTGGTTTCAGAAGCTTTGAGTGATGGGGGTTTAGACAGGAAGCAGGGCTGCTCTGGCTGTATTTTGAAGTTATTATTGAGTGTGAAACGTGAGAGAAACCGAAGATAAGGATGACTCCAAGGTTTTTTGCTGATCGCCTGGAAAGATGGCATTGCCTGATGAAGCCCGCAGGTGGAACAGTTTGGGAGATGGACAAGTGCGGTTTTGACGTGTTAATTTTGATATTTAGAGTAGACACTTGTATATATGCATCTGGAGTTCTGGGGAGACATTCTGGCCAGAGGGATAGGTTTGGGTAACTTCAGTGTTGTTCTTTTTAATCCGTAAGATGCCCATACAATATGAAATTATATTTTGATCATTTTTCTCCCTCTCTAGGTGAAAGGCCGTTTAAATGTAGTGAATGTGGAAAAGCTTTTAACCAGAAGGGGGCACTGCAGACCCACATGATCAAGCACACAGGTGAAAAGCCCCATGCCTGTGCCTTCTGTCCTGCCGCCTTCTCTCAGAAAGGGAATCTTCAGTCGCATGTGCAGCGAGTCCACTCAGAGGTAAACATGGGTTGGGGGCATAAGCAGTATTTCTCAGGGGACAGTAGGTATCTTTTGGGTTAAAAACGGACCTGAGAAATTATTTTCCATTTAAAAAAATGCAGATTGATTTTGTGCCGAGCAGACCCTGTTTTAGAAAATACATACGTGGGAATTTTTTTGGTTTATTACATGTGGAAGAAATATAAACTACTCTCTTTTTGTCTTCTTGCTGACAGCATGGCTTTGGTGAATAAATATTTGAAAATAATCCTAATACCTTTGTTGGTTATAGTCCATCATTCTCAATAATGTATTTCATCCCTTTAGAAAACTTGAAACACAGGCAAGTGTAAGAAATTAAAAGGTAAGAAATAAAATTGAGAAAAAAGTGTTTTTCTTACTGCTAATACTACAGAGCTCATATGGTACATGTCCATTCCCTCTTGGACAGAGACCTGCTCTGTTCATTTCCTTCCATGCTGCTTGTCCACGCTTTCGACGAAAATGATGATTTCCCATGGTAATTTTCTGTTGTCTGCAGAGCATACTGTTGTGTAGATCCTCTGCAAGTATTTCTGTAAAGCAGGTCAACCTTTGCTCTAACTAACCGTCATGACTTACTGATTTATATTCTAATTGTGAATACAAAGAAATATTTAAACAACACAAATACTTATATCATGGATCAATATATCCTATGAAATGATTTTGCAGAACAAAAACTATCATATTCTTAAGAGCAAATGTGTATCTCTTAATTTTTTCCTTAGAGTAATACCTTAACTAACACTGAAGTGAACTTAAGAGTTAACACTCACTATCCAAATTTAATAAAAACAAGTAGAAGCTGTCTTTGATCTTAGATAAACAGAATGTCTAAAATGAAAAAGAGAATCTAAATTGAGAAAAAACCCCTGCCCATCTCACGTAGTTTTATGAACAGATTCAGAGTTCCGTGTTCAATGAGTTAATCTTTTTCATATCTAAGACCCAGAGACATTAGGAAGGCATGTCAGTATTAGTGAGGTACTGAGGTTACCTTTAGATTTCAGAAGAATACATTTGGGCTGTTGTAAGTCATTCTTGTGGTGTTGCCTCTGGGTGAAGATGATTGCATAGGAAGGATCGTGTATTTGTGTAGCACACAGGCATACCTCACTGGAACCTTAGAGCAGCCTTGTGAGGTACTTGCTAGTACTCTTGAGTGTAGAAAACTCCCCCTATACTAAAGGGCCCAGAGACTTGCCTGTCGCCACTGAGAGGTGCTCTTGGACCTGTACTAGAATGGGTTGTTCCAGAAACAGCCTCTAAAAGTTGGTTCGTAAATATTATCCAGTCCTATGAGGAATCTGAATTTGCTTCTTAGGTACCACAAACAGAATGGAAGTCTTACTCAAGTTCAGAGGGGGCCGATGAGTTTTCAAGCTAGCCTTCATAGTTCTACAGTAACTAACACTGGGTTTTAGTAATAGAGAAATAATATTTTAGATATTTTCTCTGTTCATAGCTGTTCTTACTCATTTTACTGGTTTCCATAGTTTCTGGATTTATCATAGTTTTAAAATTAGTTGTTAGGCCAAAATTAGTTGTTAGACGTGTGATGGCTCACGTCTGTAATCCCAGGACTTTGGGAGGCCGAGACAGGTGGATCACCTGAGGTCAGGAGTTCGAGACCAGCCTGGCCAATATGGCAAAACCACATCTCTACTAAAATACAAAAATTAGCTGGGCACGGTGGCAGGCGCTTGTAATCCCAGCTACTCGGGAGGCTGAGGCAGAAGAATCACTTGACCTGGGAGGTAGAGGTTGCAGTGAACCAAGATCGCGCTACTACACTCCAGCCTGGGCGACAGAGCATCTCACAAAAAAGAAAATTAGTTGTTGATACAGAATATCAAAATTGATGAGATCCGGCCGCTGCACTCCAGCCTGGGGGACAGAGCGAGACTCCGTCTCAAAAAAAAAAAAAAAAGTTGTTGTTGATACAGAATATCAAAATTGATGAAAAGTTCATATATCATTATGACCGTCTTTCCTAACCTCTGTGGTTTTGGCCATCTGAAAGCATATTTGGTGTAATATGTATTTATATATAACTGTCTGGCCTTCACTATTGAACATTGTATTCAGCTGTTTAAAAAACCAAGAACATCTTATGCCTGACAGTTTGTTTTTATTAAATTACAATAATTGAAAAATGTGTTTTCTCACTCTTGAATAATTTCTACTTTATAGAAAAGACTGAAATTTCAATTCATCTTATACCGGCAATATTGTTTAAAGAGTTGGGTCATTGATTCTAGAACTATCTAATTTAAAAGAAAAAAGGTAATGTTGAAGGGTTAGATTATTTCTGTCATTTTGAATGGAATGGTAAATTATGATTTGCCATAATTTAAATGTTTAAATTTAACAATTGTGAAACATAATTTTTTTCTTTTTTATTCTTTAAGGTCAAGAATGGTCCTACCTATAACTGTACAGAATGTAGTTGTGTATTTAAAAGTTTAGGCAGCTTAAACACGCATATCAGCAAGATGCACATGGGTGGGCCACAGAATTCAACAAGTTCCACAGAGACTGCTCATGTTTTAACGGTAAGTTTAGTAATTTGGAAGAACTTCTTTTTAAACTAAAATCTGTCGTTTTCAATATGACCTTTACAATTGAACATTTAGTAGTGGAAAGGGGCTATGAAAATTTTTTATATGGAGAAAAGGTGCAAATTTTTAAAGAATTAAAGTCAATCTTTTTAAATTTGAGAATTAGATGACTTTGATTCAGACTGTCATCTGAACCTGTAAAAATAAGGCAAACTGTAATCATTAATTTGTGAAATAATTTCTACAATGTTATTGATGATTATTGAATATTCTTTGTCTTTACATTATAATTTAAGAATTAATTACCCTTTTTAGGTAATATTTCTCTTTTCTTATGTGACAGTGATACTTTTTCCCAAGTCTTTGGACTTTTGAAACTAAATTATATTTTTAAGTACATGTAGTTAAAAATTATATGACTCTAAATACATATGCCTACACATAGAGAGACTGTGTGTAGACAGGTGCGCGCGTGCGCACACACATACACAGGGACATACACACACTTATTTTTTCTGTAGGCATCTTATCTCAGCCTCATTTAGTTACTTGTACTGCACTAGCCTCTCAACAGATTAATAAATGGTAAAATTTAAGCATCAGCTATGGTATCTTAATAGTAGTAGACGTTAAATACAAGCGTCGGAAGTTTTAATGTATGCTTATGAATGCAGTTACTTGGTTGTGTTATGTCAACAGTTGCCTCCTACCAGTATGGAAAATAAGTCTAATTAATACTTAGTTTTTAAATATTAGGTTTACCTTTAATGTTCGTTTTTTCTTTTCTTTTTTCATAATATTTGCAGTGTGGGATGGTTCCTCAGTTTATTCTTGACCAGATAGAATGTTGTAAAATGAATTATAAAGCTGGAGAGTCCACTAATTATGTCTTCAACATTCTATTTTGGTCTGAATTTTTTTTAATAAAATTTTTAATGTTGTGTAAATCAACCAAATATTAATTTTCATCATTTCCTTTGGCAATATGCAAATCAAAACATAGATGTAGTGAATAATCTGGAGTAATAGTCCAGATCATTTTAAACATTTATATTCTCAATAGAAAGAAATGTAGTTATAGGGATTTAGAAACCTGGAATCTCCCTTACCTTATACTCTTATTTGGGCAGGTAAGAACATTAGAAGTTAAATTGTATATATTCTTTTTCAGGATGCTCTAGGAATCAGTGTCCAGCTGCCAGGATTGACTCTACGTGTCTCTTATTTTACCTTTCACATTTTCTAACTCTTGGCCTTTTTCAGCCCTGAGGTTTTTTTGTCTGTCAGCCAGGCTGGAGTGCAGTGGCGTGATTATAGCTCACTGTAACCTTGAACTCCTGGGCTCAAGTAATCCTCCTGTCTCAGCCTCTCGAGTACCTGGCACTACAGGTGCATGCCACCATGCTCGACTAATTTTTAAATTTTTTGTAGAGACAAGGTCTCACTATGTTGCCCAAGCTGGTCTCAAACTTCTGGCCTCAAGCGATCCTCCCACCTCAACCTCCCAAAGCCCTGAGATTACGGGCATGAGCCACCAGGCCTGGCCTGGAGAGGTCTCCTCAGTTTTATCTTATGACTCTTTTGATTTTTTTTTTTTAAGTAAGATTTTTAATTTCTGAAAGCTCTGCTTTGTGATGATCTGATTGTTTCTTTTTCACAAGTTTTTTTTTCTTGTTTGATGTACTTTTTCTGAAATCCAATAAGCATTGTGTTTTAAAAAGTTTTTTGTGCTCGTTGAGTTACTTGCCTGGGGTCATCTCCCCTTCTCTCTCCTGGGCCTACCTCATCATCTTTGGTTGCCTGTTTGTGTTTTAGGAAAGGGCAGCACTAGCCTGTGTGTGAACTGTTGACACGTGGATGGTGCTTGTTGATCCAGGGGTCACTGAGTGTGAGTGGCCAGGGGAACCAGCCCTTCACGGGACCCTGGTGGCAGAACACTTATACTTAGTCTGGGAATTTAGTGCCACAAAAGGTGCCCTAGTTCTTCCCAGGTCATTTATTCTTTTTTATCTTTTTTAGTGATAAAAGATATTTAGAGATTCCTTTTTTTTTTTTTTTTGCCTCAAAGTGCGTGCCTGTCCGCCACTTCCTCCGTGGAGGAAGACAGGGGCGTTCATTTTTGGTCCTAATACTTTTTGTTCTGTTTTTATTTTTATTTTCTAAATTGACAGACTTGAATTTTAGGGCAGTTTTGGGTTTACAGACAATTTCGGCAGAAAGTGCAGAGATCTACCATATACCCTCTTGCTCTCGTGCTCAGTTTCCCCCATTTCTGACATGGTACATTGGTCGGGTACGTTTGTTACAACTGGTGAATGAATGTGGATATATTATTATTATTAACCAAAGTCCGTAGTTTCTGTCAGGGTTCACTCTCAGAGTTGTCCATTCTATGGGTTTTGACAAAGGTAGAGTGTGCTGTCCCCACCCGCACAGTGTTGTACGGGTAGTTTCCCTGCCATCCGTCCTCTTCTGGGTGGGATGTTTCGGATTCCCAAGCCCTGCAGGGGTGGGACTGGCTCTCCCATCACAACCCTTTCCTCTGACTTAAGTTTTCTTGGCTGTAGCATTACCGTGCATTTATTCCTCCAGTCTCCCTGCAGGAAGAATTTTTCACAAATGTGTTGAATTATTTTGACTGCAGTGGTTTCTTTCCTACTTTTTAAATTTGTATAACTTGATATTTTTAAAATTCCTTCACTTCAATTTTATGAGCTAACAGGAAGGTGAGGGTTCATGCGCTCAATCTGCCATCTTGAGTCTCTACTGCCCACTTGAAAAAACTGTAAAAAATTGCATTCGAACAATTTATTGTGTATGTTAAGAGCCAATATCGTGCCAAACACAAGAATCAGTGAGACATGATATTTAAAATTTATGTGTTAGGATACTTTTAGATTTTAACACCCTTAAGAAGGGTATTGCCTTTTTTTTTAAAATTTTCCTTTTTAAATTGAAGAGCAAAATTGTATTTTTAATGAAAATGTTTCTGTGTTTCAGGCCACACTCTTTCAGACGTTACCTCTTCAACAGACAGAAGCCCAAGCCACGTCAGCCTCAAGCCAGCCAAGCTCCCAGGCAGTGAGTGACGTCATCCAGCAGCTCCTGGAGCTCTCAGAGCCGGGGCCAGTGGAGTCAGGGCAGTCCCCGCAGGCTGGGCAGCAGCTGAGCATCACAGTGGGCATCAACCAGGACATTTTACAGGTGAAGCACGCTTCCCTGCGGTGTGAGGCTTACGCGCTCGCGCTGGGCCAGAAACCGGGGATGATCATTGAGAAATAAATCTGTAGGACTTGTCAAAGTCAGGGTATCCTCATGAAAAATGTGCCTGAACTGAAAGAAATTAATATGCCTACTTAATTGCTTATGGATGGCACAACATTCAAATGATTTATTCATCTATACATTAAAAAAATCATAAACTTTAATTTTTTTTTCTGTAAATGAACTTACTTGAAAAGAACAGCCTTTTCAGAAGTTGTATCTATTTATGTTGACAGAGGTGGAAAAAGTATTTTATTCTTGAGGTTCTGGTTTATAATTTGGAGGCAGTCATGGGTGTCGACAATTCTGAGAGCGTTCATACTGCCTGGCCTTCTCTCAGGTGTGTGGGCAGCACCTACACATGTGGGAGAGGGGTGGGGCAGGAGCACAGAGCCCCCAGCCTTCTAGTCCACCGCTACTTCACACTAGCTCTTCGCTTCTAAAAAGAGGGGGCCTTCCTTCTCCTCCTGTCTCTCTGTTACTTGTTTAACCTTCCTCCTATACCTTCATGGGGAAGAGCTGGCCAGGGGTATGAGGAATCTCAGGGTGTCATTCTACAGCCGATACCTTAAAGTTAAGCCCAGTGTAACTCAAAAGCCTTCAGATAGGGATTCCCAGATTTATTTAGAGACAACCAAAGTTGTGTGAGGTAAGATTTCTGAAAGTCAAATAAATTTTAATTAGAAATATAAATGCTTATATTATTTTGGGTGGGGGCAGAATGTCATATATCAGAAAAGATGTTACAGCCTCAAAGGGTTGGAAGCCTCACTGCTAAGTGATTACTTGGAATTGTAGATTCTTGTTTCTTGGAGTGGAATTAGAATTCTATAGGTAAAGCTTTGTGATTGATTTTGGTAGGCAGATTTGGGCCATCGTTATCTTCTAACCTTTTAGTTTTGTTCTGTCTTAGCAAGCCTTAGAAAACAGTGGGCTGTCTTCAATTCCAGTTGCAGCACATCCTAATGACTCCAGCCATGCCAAGACCTCTGCACCACAGGTTCAAAACCCAGATGTTTCCAGCGTTTCAAATGAGCAGACGGACCCTACAGACGCAGAGCAAGAAAAAGAACAGGAAAGCCCGGAGAAACTGGATAAAAAAGAAAAAAAAATGATAAAGAAGAAATCACCATTTCTACCTGGTAATTTTGCTAAACTTTAAAGTTTAGACATTGGGATAGCATATTTCTGGTTTTTAAGAAATATGCCCTTTTTTCCTCTGAAGGTGATAGGATATGTTTGTTGAATGTTTTGTAGCTAGCTGTAATTGGTTGGTATTTAAAAATAAAAATAACAGCCATAAAATTTCTTAAATTTATCTCTTCTCCTTAACCTGGCTTCTTTCCTGTATTCAGTTTGTCCTGACTCCTCGCCAGGGCTCGAAAGCTTGTTGTCTCTGACTGTTCTCTCTCTGCTCTGCTTAGGTGCCTCCTCTCCACTGAGATCCACGGCTTTGCTTCAGTTATTCTCGCCCTTGGTGCTTCTGGCATCCAGCCATGTGATTCTAGTAGCTTCTGACTAGTCCTTTCCTCTTCTTCAAAGGACCCCTGCAGCACAGCTCCCTCCTCCACACCTCACCCTTTCCCGTTACACTCCAAGATCCATTTCTTGGCTCCTGAGTATCCTATCACCTGTCCAGCCTGCATTTCCAATCCTTCCTCCCTCTGTGCTTCTAGGCACAAACTTACTATACATCATACTGAAACTGGATTCCTACTGTTTCTAGGCGTCCCTGTGTTTCTGCACATCATGCTTTCTGCAGGCTTTCTGCAGCAAGGATGCCTTCCTTTTCCTTCTCCCTCTGGTCTCTGTCAAATCTTGGCCATCATTCAAGCATCTTTAGTGCTCCGTCATTCAAGCATCTTCAGTACTCCTCCTCATGGACGGACTCTGAGAGGTGCTTTTTCTTGTCCTATCTCCCACAGCACTTAGAGTGTTTAGGATTCCTGCATTCTCTCATGTTAATTGTGCACAGATGCAGTCTAATGTCCCTTCTAGGTAATAAGCTCTTTCTGGCTGGGAATACAGCCCTTTCATTTCTGAACACTCCACAGTGCTCAATATGGCTCTTTCTGCAGGAGCAGGAATTTACTACATCTTTCTTGAAAAAGATAGATTCTTGTCTTTTTGGCAAAACTGTTCCTGTAAAAACCTTTCCCAGGTGTCTTGGGGAACAAGTGCATTCTTGCAACAAAGCATGGAATAACATTGCCATTTCTGTTAACACTTCTTTCCTAGAATACATTTTCTCATTTATAACATGATTGTGAAGTTCTTGTTTCTCAAACAACACAAGTCCTGCTCTTCTTCCCCTTGATCTGGCTTCTTCTCCCCAAGTGAAAGACAGGATGCTGGAATCTAAGCAGTTTCTCCCACACAGTTTCCTGGTATCTAGCAGGGCAAGAAAGGGAAACAGGAGCCATTTCCATGTATTTTGATGAGCTGTGTGGTAGCCTTCCAGGTTACAGTTGTGTTATGTGTTCCTGATAATCTGATGCAGATTTATTACCTGTGTGCGAGTGCCCGCCTGAGTCCCATGGGCCACTGTCTCTACTTATTGTGCTAAATTAGATGCTTTCACCTGGCCAGCAAGCCACTGAGTGAGGAGCCATGTCAGACCTTCTCCTTCCTGAAAGTACCACATAGCCATGATCCTTAGACCGAGAAGGTGAGCGCCACCCTGTGCTGCTCCTTCCAGACCTTCACCCGCATGTGCTAGAAGCAGCTTTCTCCCTGCACCAAGCGCTAGCCAAGGAATTCCACATGGAATTGCAGGAAACCTTCCTGTACGGTGTTCTAGTTTGGAGTGCTGTGTTTACAGAGTTGATAACGATTAGGTAATTTCTGGACTACTTGAATCAATCAAATACACATGTAGAATACTGAGCAAGTGCATGCAGTTGTAATAATTACCCATTACATTCATGGGATCCCTAGTACAAGTTGGAGCCAGTGCTTTGTTTTGTTTTGTTTCTGTTTTTGTTTTTGTTAAGTGACCTCTCTAATATGGTTATGAGAAAACCATGGGGACCTTTTTTTTTTTTGAGACTGGGTCTTGCTCTGTTGTCCAGGCTAGAGTACAGTGGTGCGATTATAGCTCACTGTAGCCTTGAACTCCTGGGCTCAAGTAATCCTCCTGCCTCAACCTCCTGAGTAGCTGGGACTGCAGGCATGTGCCACCACATATGGCTAGTGAAAAACTTTTTTTTTGTAGAGCTGAGGTCTTGCTATGTTGCCCAGGCTGGTCTTAAACTCCTGGCCTCAAGTGATCCTCTTGCCCCAGCCTCCCAAAATGCTAGGATTACAGGCATGAGCTACCACTCTTTGCCTGGGAACATGTTTCTATTTAAAGATGTTCCTTTTAATTAAAACTTTTCAATGACCAGTGCACTTTTAACATAGTGATTATATCTGAAAATGCCTCTCCAAGGATGGAATATCATTTGATATCTTAGAAAGACCATGAGGAAAACTATTCTTGTCTCATAAGTCATAGCATTAATTGCTTATAACTAACCTTCATTATGTTCCTAAGTTAAGCATACTCCACCATGTAAAATTATTGCTTTTGATTTATTCACTTTTATCAGATTGAATGTTTTTGGCGGGATTTGCTTTGTTTGAAGAAGTTATAGTAAAAATTTAACAATGCTTTTATAGTTGTCATACAACTTGTGACATATAAATCATTGTAAATTTTTAGTAGTTTGAAATTTATGACCAGGTGCAGTGGCTCATGCCTGTAATCCCAGCACTTTGGGAGGCCAAGGCAGGTGGATCACGAGGTCAGGAGTTCGAGACCAACCTGGCCAACACAGTGAAACCCCATCTCTGTTAAAAATACAAAAAATTAGCTGGGTGTGGTAGCAAGCACCTATAATCTCAGCTACTCGGAAGGCTGAGGCAGGATAATCGCTTGAACCCGGGAGGTGGAGTTTGCAGTGAGCCGAGATCATGCCATTGGACTCTAGCCCTGGCAACAGTGTGAGACTCTGTCTCAAAAAAAAAAAAAAAAAAAAAAAAAGACATTTATTGTGGTGAAATACTGGCTATCTAGAAATCATGGTGAATGGTGTTCTGGAAAGCTGATGATTGATTCCTTTAAGGATGAAAATGGTATGGTATAGTGAAACTATTGTGTATGGAAACTTTTCTAAAAGTCGTTGCATACTTTACCTTCTTAGATCAGAGTGTGATCTTGTTAACTTAGCCACTTCTTGATGACCTGGGGTCATCGCTGTGAACTTCGGTATACTGTACTGGTCTGTAATTGACCGGCATCCTACTGTCCTGTTTCAGTCCACGGGCTCCAGGATGGTGTGGCTCTTAGACTCATCTGCTTTTTAAAATCATTATCTCTGCAAATGTGCTTTTTAAAATTCCCTGTAACAAACCTTCTCCCATGTTCTTCTTTTGTTGTTTGTGGTCTGCCAAGTGCTTACAGCTCAGATAAATTTGATTTTTATAATTGCGTAAAGGTTAAGTGCAGGTAGCCCTTCTCCTTCTCCGTGGGGTCTGCATCCATGAGTGCAACAGACCTCATATCAGAAAATCCTCAGTAAGTGTACTGCAGTAAGCCCAAAGCAGTGTTAAAAATGCTAGTGTGAATGGCACACAAAAATGTTTTTTCCCCCTAAATTATTAACTGGAATTCTCATCGTGAAGTAGACCCAAGGAGATGCAGTCCTTAGGGTTTCCTCCCTGGAAGAGTACTTTAAATAATTCTTGTAAAACTTTAGCTTCAGGCTGCTGAAGCACTTGATCAAACTCCTAAATCATTTCTGGGGCAGCATGTGAGGAGGGCAGGTTTCCTTGGTAAAGATGCTCAGTGCATCCTGGGCTGCATCTGAGATGCACTGTTCTCAGTGTCGCTGTGTAGCCACATCAGCCAGCACTGTTTGTGCATCTGCCAGGACAGAGATTTGTTTTCAAGGTTCTGGGAACCACATGGGGGCAATGCGCTTATAAACAGGAGCAAGAAATTCCATAGTCCCTCTGAACCTCCCTGAGGTTCTCAACTTTGAAGGACAAAACCTATTTCTGTGCACTTGGATCTGGATATTCAGCTGCTCCTGTGAGAAAGTAACCAGCACTCATTCTCTGTTCTCTGTACCTTCACTCATTCCACTGCCTGTGACTAACAGAAGGGAGGCAAAGTAACTCCTCCGCAGCATCTGCCTTTCTCAGCAGCAGACTGGTGGTTTTCTTCTGCTGATCAGAACAATTCTTCAACAACTGCATGAGCAGAGGCATGAGCATCTGTCATACAATGGGGATACCTGTGTCTTAGGCTTGGCTGTAATCTGCTTGATAAAAGGAATGAGTTGCTGGGGGTCTCTTCCTTCGTAGTCTTTGAGCACGTGTCTGAGCAGACAAGAGGAATAGAAGGACTTCTTCCTCCAGGCAAGTAATCATGCAATGAGGAGGAGCATGGGAACTCTGCTTCTGAGCATATCCTTCTGTGAGGCACAGCTGAGGGCTGATGAGAGTATCTGTAAACAGCTCAGAGCCTCGGAACAGCCATGCCATTCCCCAGGCTGCTTGCTGCTGTGGCAAGTCCAGCAGCATGGTTGAGGCAGTCTGTTATAGATGTTGCCCTTTCTTCCTCTGCTGTCAGCATCAGTGTTCCTAACAGAAGTTTAAATTTGTGCATCAGTGGAGTCCACGGATTCCTCAGTTAATGCTTGCTTCCTTTTTGATGGGTGTTTGCTGTCCATAATTGGTACTCCAGCTGTCTCATAAACAAATAGTTGGTTGTTCTTCAGTAAGGACTGCTAACGCTTCTCAGTGGAGAAAGCCCTGATAAGTCTTCTGTTCTATTCAGAATATCCTCAATGAAAGGATTCATTGTTTCTTGAGAGATCTGACAAATCTGAAGAACAGAAGCATAAGCAGTTCTGCTGCATGCTTTTGCACTAGAGTGTTGCAGACCCCCGGTGATCTAAGAAAGCCATTAATACCCACAGAATGTGTTGAGGTTCAGTTGTGAGGAACTTTCCTGTCTGACAAGTTCCGAAAAACTCATGTCACAGATATATGCTGATAAGAGTTCACTCCTGACATTACCAACAGCTGTGTCATATTTGCAAAGCACCAGCCATTGAACCAGCACCTGAGAAGGAGGCACCATGCGATCTTGGAG